CGGGGGGGGACGATTGTTTTGGCTGCTTAGGTTTGATACTTTGAGAAGCCATGAGTGAATGAAGATCTACTGTTCAAGAAAAAGGCCAAAGAGTTATTCAAAATTATTGATGATGTCATGCAGCAGGTTGGTCTGAAATGGCAGGACTGTGTTGGACTATGCAAAGATGGAGCAAAAAGCTGTGGCTGGCAGACAAGAAACCATTCAGGCTTTGACAAGCTCCAGGTGCTATTTGGACTTGCTGTATGATCCACAGAGAGGCCCTAGCTTCAAGGGATGAGTCCAGAGCCACATTTTGCACTATCAACCGCCACTAATGTTGTGAACTACATAAAAATCAAAAAGCCAGATTTTACTGCTGTGGGTGATTTCAGATTATGAAGTGCTGCTGAATCCAGAGGGCCATCTTGGGTCAAAATTCTGACAAGTGTGCTTGAACTCAGAGAAAAAAGAAGCATCTTTAAAAAAAATCATAAAGAATGCAGAAAAAATTATAATGAAAAGACTTTGTTTTGAAACTGGCTTATTTTAGTGGTATCTTTGAAAAACTAGTATTTTAAAATGCTCAGCTACAAAGAACTCACTCCCACATTCTTCAGCTTAAGGATACGGTGAAGAACTCATTCAACAGGAAACTGGAAAAGTGAAACAACAGGCTAGCAAAGGCTAAAAGGCATACAGGCAGCCCTCGACTTACAACGTTTCGAGTTACGTTTTACACTTATAATGTTTATAAACTGACACCCTGTTTCAACTTTACAATGCCAGTTTTGACTTACAACGCTTGATCCAATTCAATGCCATGCCAACGAACAAGTTGGCTGCGTCGCTCATCTCCCTGGAGAACATCTGTCCAAACTTCCTTGGACACTTTAAGAAAGCAGACAAGACTCCCGAAAAACCTGCAGCCAAAATTCCTGAGAAGACTCCAGCCAAGAGCCCTTCAAAAAGTCCAGCAAAGTCACCTCAAAGAAGTCCTTCCAAATCAATATGATTGCTATTTACAATATAAATATATTAATGTAGCTATGTTACACTCATCTATAATTGATTGAGTACAAAATTCTGGGGTATTTTTGGTGAAAATAGGGTATCCGGCCTTGGTTCAGGAACCAATCCCCCATTTATAACATTGTTTCTTATGAGAAAGTTGGTTCCGAATTACAACACTTCGACTTAAGATGTGGTTTTCAGGAACCAATTGTGTCGTAAGTCCGAGGGCTGCCTGTATTACAAACTCTTAAAGCATTTATTGAAAATAATGAGCTGCAGAATGCTGAGGAGACATGAAAAGTATATAAAAAAAGTTCATTACTGAAAGTTCTGTTTTAAAAATAGTTCCTTAATACAGAATTAGAACTTGAAAAACACGCTCGAGTTACAAACACTTTCAGCACAAGGACTCCTAGAGAAAACTGATGCTACAAAAGAAGATCAGTTTATTGACAAAGCTTTGGGTATTAGTTTAAACACTATGTTTTAATGAAGAAAATGCATGAATTTTTTTTTTTAGCAGAAATATAGGAATCAAGTATTCAGTTTTACGCAAAAAGGCCAAGTGGATAATTATTCCTTTTGTTATGTTTTTGGGTGGAATTGGGGATTCTGCACCAAAACAAAATATAGATCACAACTGAACACACAGTGAAAACTGAGTCGCTGCATCAGTCTACAGCCTCGTATAAACTCTGCAGACAGAAGCAGGTTCCAAGTCACTAAAAAACCCCAACATATGCAAACATATGAGTTTAATCATTTGTACTTAATATCTTGATTCTAGCAATAAAAAAAAGATGTTGACATTTCCGAATTTTTTTGCATGGCGTGATAATACTTTGCCCTTAGTTGCAACCCACCTAGAAACCTTTCATACTCCACAATGTGGGAAAGGCAACTGTCTCAAGGCATCTTATTTAACAAACTGGAACATAAGCCAACTTTGATCTATTCACTCTTTCACTACTACAGTGCTAGCCAACCACCTCAGACCTTTTCAAGTGAGATATTTACCATCTCCAAAAACCATGAGACTTCTCTTCCTAACAAGATCCTTGCGTACTCTTCTGCCAGCCACTGTGTTCATCATGGATTTTGCATCAGCAAGCCTCTGTTGATATAAAGTGAGGCATCTGATTTCTGCACCAGAACAGAGACATGGGGGTGCTGAAATGGCTGACAGCGATTGGCTCCGTGCAGCATGGAGCAGGGGTCAATCCATTTCCCAGTGTCACTCACCCCTTTCACTGCAGCTCCACAGCTAGACATTTAACTCTTTACCTACTGCCAAATTGAAGGAGTCAAACAATTTGGCAGCAGCTGTAAGGGAATTAAACCTCCAGCTGTGGAGCTGCAGTGAAAGCAGGAGTGACACTGGAATGTACTTAATGCAGCCAATATTCAGCCATGGTGAGCTCAGGCTGTGGCAGGTCAGATTCTGGAAAAAAAACAAAAAACCTTTTTACCTCATTTTGACCTCCCAAAACAAGGGACATACCTTATTTGGGGATGTGCAGGAAATGAGTAAATATGATGATATTATAAAGAAGGACTTTTATGACTATTTCACTCACAACAGATGTGAAACTCAACACTACAATAACTTTTATCTGTTTTTCATAAATACTGAAGACAATTTTCTCTGCTACGGCAAATCAGTGGCAATGAGAAATCAAGAGGCAAAGCTTGACATTGTAATGGTGTATGAGCAAAAGACTAATTCTTGGTTGTCGAGCACAAGCAAGAAGCCTGTTTCATAAGTTCCAGATGGAGCGTCTTGAACTATGAACAGTTAAATTGCTTTATCAAGAGAGTTTCTTTATGAAGGGAGACATGTAGCTCATTTCACAAAGACTTGTGAAGTTAGATCTGCTGAGGAGAACTTTTTTCTAAACTAGGGAGTTTAGGTATCATGCCTCCTACCTCTTCAGAACAGTGCATCTGAAGCTGGGGATCTAGCCGGTAATCAAGAGCCGATTCCTGGATTATCACTCGGATCTGATCCTCGCAGTCTGAAGACAGACGCTATTGAACGAAGGAAAACAGCCATCAAACCACTAAATAAAATCATATATATATTTTAAAAAGTAAACTGTTTTGGTAATTTAAGAGCATAGTTAAATGTCTTTAATCTGCTGGTTCTGGTAAAGGTTTTAAGCAATGGTGCTCAACATTCTGGTTCCACAGGGAGATGAGTAACGCAACATCAGCCTGAGGCAGATCCCACTGCACACCATCCTGATGTCACACACCTGGTCTAAGAGGTAGTTAAGCTTAAATGGGGAGACTGCAAGAGCCCCTCTGTATATAGCATAAAAAAGTTTACAAGCATTCAAACTGGGAGTCAAAGTCTAAGATACCAGGGTGGACAATCAGTCAGTGTTGCTAGGCACATATTTGTGCAGCTCATGTTTACATAGAACTTACCTGGTCTGCGTATTTCAACTTCAGGCATGAGATAACTTGCCCCTCCAATTCTGTATCATCCTTTGCCTTACTTAGGATATTTTGGCAAAATTTGGGAATGTCTGCTTTACAAGCCTTCCTGAGCACTGGATTTAAGCGGTAATCTGTGAAAGGACACATTAGAATTCATAAACAGACACCATCACAAAGATATTAACAAACAGCAAACTGGATTTGTAGTATGTTCTGAATGATGATCCTATAAGGGTTTCATTAGAAAGGATTAAGTCAGGGCTCCACAACCCAAAACTTTTTGAAGACCCACCTACACTTTTTTTTTTTTTTTTTTTTTTTTTAAATGGAGGGCTACCATGAGTGGTATTTGTTCTGACCAGATGCAAGCCCTTGGGATGTTCACAAGCAGAGAACTGGACTACCCACACAGATGGATGCAATGATTAAGGAAGGATGCAGGATTTCCAGTTTTTCAAGTCTATTCTTTTAATGACATGGTTTAATAAAGATTTATGACACGCTGTACACCACAGAGCTAAGGTTTTCCCGTTTTCCACTGAAAACACTGACCAAACCATAAAAATCTCAGGAGTAAATGGACCCAATAATTATGCAACATCCAACTACAGTGGACAAACCTAAACCACTACTTCTTTACGTGGAGCAAAGCACCATTAAATGAAGAAAATTAATTTGCAGTTGGATTCTGGTGCTCACTTTTCAGCCAAAACACATAATTAGATGCTTTCAAGGTAAAAAGTAAAAAAGTATAGTACCTGTATTCTGTGTAATCTGCCGCTTGGTAATCATTTGTTTGCATTTAGGGTCCATCACCTCGCTGTTCTTATTCTGTTTCAAACACTGAAGCATGTTCTTTGAATCTGCCTCTGGGCAGAACCTCTGCAAAAAGGAGAACTCAATTTTTATCACTAATTAGCCCTCACAATTCCAAACATTCACATAGAAACTAAATCTCCAACCCAACCCAAAGGAATCATGCTTGATTCTTCCACTCCTCCAGTAACAACCATTTTCTTATATTCTCTCTAAATTGGCAGAGGAGAAAGGAAGTAAATATCTAGTTTTGGAAAGCATAAGCTGGGCAGCTGCTACTAACTGCAGTTGTGGGTTGCAAGCTCTGTGTTAACAAGACGTCTGGCTATCCAGGGTATCTTTATTTTCCATTCACTAGAGCTATTGCACATTATGATGCAAAACTCCTATTATTTCTATTTGGGTCTCATCTCCATCTCCTGCTTCTCTCCCCACTGAGTCCAAATACAGGAACAAACAGATGCTGGTGACTGTACAAGCAAACCACTGTCCTGCATAACAGCTGCTTGGTACAGGAAAGCTAAGAGACCTCTAATGCAGTGCTCAGTACACAATAAAGCTATGGCTACGGAGAGACATTCAGTTCTAGCACTAAGAATTACTGGCAAATTATCAGTGCTAGGAAAACATATCTGGGTTAAGGCCATACAGGCGCTCCAGATCCCTGGCTGGAGAGCTTCATGGACTCCCTGAAGGCAAGCTCTCCTGCAAGGGAATGGTAAGGGGATAGTCCCTGGGTCTCCCTGAAAGCAGACCCTCATGAGTGGGTCCCTGACAAAGGTAAAAAAGGGAGGCTGAGGGTAGGCATAGGCCAGGGGTGGGCAATTATTTTGGGTGGAGGGCTGCTTACTGAGTTTTGGCAAGCCATCAAGGGCCACGTGACAGGCAGCTAGGGGCAGATTAATATTAATTTTCTAAATTTTTTAGGGGCCCCATGGGCCAGAAGGAAATGTCCTGGCAGGCTGTATCCAGCCCACAGACTGCATTTTGCCCACCCCTGGCATAGGCAGTGAGCGGAACCAAATCGAATACCCTTTGCTACAACTTCCACAAGTTCCGCTATTTAGAAGCAACTACAATACACAATGTAGCAGGATGCTTCTAAAAAAATCTGTTTCTGAGGAGCTGCCCAGTTAAGTGCACGTTGCACTGGTGGAACAGTGGAGGTAGTGGGGTGTGTCAACTTCATTGCTCTGTAGGGATGGTATTTAAACTTGTGTTTGTACAGGGGGAAAAGTACCCCTAAGGATCAGGGAACAGCCTTTTAATCTTGTGGTGTATGCAGGACCTTACAATTCTGGAGCTAAAGGGCTCTGTGCCCTTTGTGGGAAGCCATTTAAGCTTCACTCTCCCTGGGAAAGTCTGATTCGTGTGGCAAGGATGGTGAGGACATGAGTACAACTGATATCAGGGGCCTGGCAGCAGTGTTAACTTCATTGAAAGCAGCCTGTAGAGTTGTCTCAGCTATGAGTACCCTTGTAAGACTAAGGAAATCAATCTTCCCTTCTGTCCTGGGTAACAGAGTCCAAAAGGTCCATCAGATTTTTAGAAACCTGAAAATTGTAGTGGGCCAAATAGGCGTGGCAATTAGCTATTCAAAACTGCAGACTAGCTGCTGAGTATTAGGGCTGTTCAAAGCTTCAGTAGCCAATTTGATTCAGAGGAGATTCGGCAGCCAATATTAAAACACAAAAAAATCGGGAGGCCCATTGATCTCTCCAAACCAAATCAGAAGCCTCTGAATCAATTCAGACAGATTCAGAAATTTGGCTGTAGACTGTACAGGCAGGCACTAGGCAGTGCTGGCGAGAGGAGCTGGGGGAGCAGCCGGACGAGCCTGGGCTTGAGCCGGCAGCCCCAGAAGAAGCTGCAGCTCGTCTAGCTGCTCCCTTGGCTGCCCCCCCACTGGGGCGAGGCAGGAAGTGCTGGCAGCCCCGGGAGAAGCCGTGAGGCTGGGGGAAGCCCCTGTTCATTCCCCAGCTCCTTGACTGATCCCCACAGCCCCTGCGGCTTCTCCCGGGGCTGCCAGCATTTCCTGCCTCACCCTGGCAGAGGGGTAGCCAGATGATCCACAGCTTCTCCCAGTTGAAGCCAGGGCTCATTTGGCTGCTCCCCCAGCTGCACCCGCCGGCACTCCCTGTATAGTCTTGCCAAATATCTTCAGATTTGGCCAAATCGAAATAGGGATAGTGATTCAAATCACTGAATCGAATCACTATCCTTTTGAATTGCTGAATCCAAAGCAAGTACTTTCCACTTCACACAGGCCTACTGAGTATGCAATCTTGCTGAACTGTTCCACACTCTGTCTTCCTATTAATCCAAATTTCTTATTCATAGCTATGAGCTAACCTATTCTCCCTGGTTATCAGAGTAAAAATAGTTGATGCTCCTAGATAGCACACTCTTTCTTTTCTGCCCATTTAGCAATGGGGTTAGCCAAAAATGCTTACACTAAGTCCATTATGGCCTTGTTGACTGGCAAAAATAGCCTCATCAGGCTCACTTGGTACAATATTACAGGGAGTATGATAGTCAGACACTGTCTGGGAAATCTTTAAGGTGCTTCCCCCTCTATTTAATAAGTTCATGCAAACACCGTGCATCCTCTGAGGATTGGGACACTGGTTGCACTGACACTGCATCAGAAAAGGGAGAGTCTGTAGACTCTTTCATCTTCGCTACTATTAAAAACTAATCATGATGATCTGGGGGAAGTGTTCCCAAGTACAGACTTTTGATGTCAACGGGCCTTCTCTGACCATGGGTGGAGTTGCTGAAAACCACACAGCCAGATTGTTCTTTTTTACATAGCTAATGGCAGCCCGGGATCTATTACATAGATTTGTGGCATCAGTGAATTTGTACCAGGGATCCAGGTTCCAGCTAGTGTCAAGCTAAAACTAAACGGCTAAACTACAATGTGGGAGGGACCACAAAACTCTTAGGATTCTACCCAATTCAGTGAAGCTTTTTTCCTGAGAGAAAGCTGTTCTGAAAAAGCACAAGAGCTTTAGGTCACTCGTGCAGAGAATGACTGACTTTTTAAATCCGAGTCCACTTCTTTCATGTCTCCAGAACAGATATCCTGAGTTCTAGAAAAGTTAGTTTTCCTTGTGAACTTGACTCCATCCCAACAGTCAATATGGCAACATTACCTTGATCATCTGTTTGCAGACCCTCATAAGTGTATAGTCCAACTCAGGATCCATCATTTCCGTCTCCTGCAGTTTAAACACTTTTTGGTGACATCGGGTGCTCAGCTGCTTCTTAATTTCTTTCAAACACTCGATAATCTGCAACAAGAGCATTACAGCAACTGAAACAGACACAATGATCATCCTCCCACATTTTTGGAAGGAAACATGTTTCTGGTGTTCCCCTGCTGGCTCGTTTTCAAGTATCTGTGCACTTCGCAAGTTCTAGGCAGAGTCTGGAATTTATCTAAAAAGTCAAACATAAAATAAGTTGCTGGTAATCAGCATTAAAGCTTACTAAATGTTCCTATTAGTTTAAGCTAAATGAAGATGGCAACAATATTATCCTACTTATTTTTGACTTACACAGTCATTATAACTTTGCAATGGTATAGACAGATGAAACAGACAAACTGAACCCTGACCTTATCTGGAAAGAACTGACTAATGAAATGCTCCAAAATGATAAAAATGGAATTGGAAGATACCCTAAAATACAAGTCTAATGCTATACTTGATTGAGATACAAACATTCTTCAAAAAAAAGGTTTGGAATGAAAAGTGGAAACAAATAATTAAGAGACCCATTACCTGAGCATTGCCATAAGGCACATTCTGGCAGTAGTTCTTGATGTCATTCTTACAAGCCTCATACAGCTCTGGTTCAAGCCTGATATCCTCACTCTGCAAGATAAGATGATGCAGTGAAAAACAAGCTATTAGCTCAGACAAACAGATTGCATATTTTATCCAACAAGAGTTTTTATTCACAAAACAGACAAAGGAGACATTTGGGATAACAAGGACAAGTATTCAGTTCTTCAAACCAAAGGGTATAGTAGGTAAAAACAGTCAGAGTTTGGTGGTGGAAGCAGGTCCCCAAGTTGCTGTGTGATTAAGTACCACTTTCAAGGCAAATTCAACTCTCCATATACTTCTTGTTGGCTACCTAAGCCTAAGTAGAGCTGGATAAATATTTGGCTCAACTATGCCAGCCAGACGTACCTCATCTATTTCAATTGTCTAAAGACAATTCTTACATGAGGTGTATTAACACTTACCTGAATTACCTTGGCCAGGACACAAAGTGAATGCCAGCAAAAAAAACATGTTTATTTTCAGAAATCAGCTGGCAATAGGTTTTTAGAATTTCATTTTTATTCCACACTGAATAAAAGGTTTTGCATTCACTTTAGTAGGGACACTAAGCATAATTTCCCCTTTACTCTCTACAAATGTAGGGAGCCCCTTGATCCCTGAAAATGTCCTCCCCCCACTTTTTACATTAGGGTCAAAGATAGGTCTCAGACAGAAAGGTTTTGGCTAAAGAGAAGACCATCAACAGGACTCTCTTCCACAGAACTGCTCCTCAATGATGCATACCAACCAACTGCCTCCACTGAAGGGTTGTATGCGCTGCCTCTGAAGTGGCTGAGGACTATTAGTCAAAGTTTTACTGATTAAACAATGTCACAGGAAATTTTGTGCTTTTAGTACTGTAAACACTAATGCCAGGAAGCTAGGAGGCTGTTTAATTTCAAGGAAAAAAACCAGGAATATCCTGTTTTTTATCCTGCCTCAGTAACTAACCCATTGTGTAGTACTGGACATGTCACTTCACCTGTAAAATGTGGCTAATACTTGCCTCCTGAGGGACTAGGGGAAACTGGCATATGTGTACTGCTCTCTAAATGCACAGCATAAGTAATTAAATTCAGGCAGCTGGCATCAGAACATGAGAAAAGTCATTACTTCAGCCTGAAGGGCAACTGACTTGGATTGCTGCGCAATCAAAAGTTGTTTCCTTCAACTCTGCCACAGCTGAAGGAGATGCATCTCATGTAAGGATGATAATTCTTTTCTTAAGGTGTGTAGAAAAACAACAGAAGACATGACAGGAAGAGCAAGTAAAAGTGATTCAGCAATCTGTCCAAGAGCTCTGTGCACACTTACCATCTCTAGCTCCTCAACACGCAACTGTTTGCGGCACTTCAGAGACACCCTGTGCTCCTTGGCATCCTGCAGAGTGTCGTTACGCACAGTAGTGCTCAAGCAGATCACCACATCTACCCTGCAGAGAAAGAAAACAGACTCTTATTTATATATATGGCGATTTATTTCTGGGACTTTCATGCCAGACAACAGGACTAGGACTGGCACACCACACTACTCAAAACACCGTGTTACTCAGAAGTTAAATAACTCCCTGGAACACAAAGGGATGCTAAGTCAGCACAAAGTCTTCTGCACTTTTGGTAAGAAGATACAAAGAGCACAGACTCAATCAGATAAGGGAAAAATTGAAACAGAAGTTATAAAGACAGTTTACAGATTTTTTTTTTGTTTCCAAAACCAGGCCCAGCTGTTTAGTTCAGTGTAGGACATCATAAATACAAGAGAACGAGATCTGAACTAGAGGTTGGACCAGATGACCCTTGAAGTTCCACACAACCGTCTCATTCTAAAACTGAGAGTAAGTGAGATTTGGACTCTTAAATCACGTGTACACTCCCAAAAATTGCCACTTGTTATTTCATGGATATGCTGTATAAATGTGTATATTGCATTACAAACAGTATATGTGAACTAATGGAGCAGCTACACCATATTTTGTGAAAGGCATTTTACTCTTGATGAGAAAGTCACCCTGCTCCTGTGTTCCGATTTAGATATTTGTTGTCAGTGTTATCAGTCGAGATCCAGATTTTCCATTTTCCATGGGAAAATGAAGTAAACCACAGATTTTGCCTTTTACCAGAGGCAAAACGCAAATTTCTCCTTTTACCAGAGAAACCCATGGATTTTGCAATGAGCTCCCTGCAGGGAGCAGGAGGAAGGTGGAAAGACAGGGGGCTCCATGTACGTAGACATTAGGGCTGTGTGAAGCTTCAGTAGCCAATTCTATTTGAAGGAGATTCAGCCCGATTTGGCAGATGAATCTCTGAATCTGAAGCAAATCTATTAAGAGTTCCCAATTGAACTGGAAGCCTACAAATTGATTTGAAAAGATTCAAGGCCAATTTGGAGATTTGGCTATCAGCTATTCAGTTTCCCTCACATAAAGCAAACCCACTTTATAAAGTAACAAATAGGGATAGGTTCCCAAGGCAGTGAGGGATGGAGCAAGAGAGGCTGGGACTAGGGAAGGGGCAGAGGGAGGGGTGCCATTCCTAGGACTGTACCGTGCTATGCCTGTCCCCCCATGCCTGGACTCTGCCTGTCCCCCGCGACCCAGCTCCTGGGCTGCACCGTGCCATGGTGCAGGCAGCTGGTGCTGGCTGCTCCTGGGGCTGCTATGTAGCATGAACTGAACTAATGTAGCTGATGTTAATATTGAGTGTAATAATAGTAAAATGTAACCATATTAGTTTTATCCTGGAAGCAACTTGAAAACTGCATTTTGTATCCTTCTGCTTGACATAAGTAAATGAACTCTGCATAGCCTTTATGTATGAGTGTGTGTAAACGGGTGAATGGAGAGAGAATGGCATAGAGATGAGAGAAGATTTAACTGTTTATCTAAGTAACAAGGCACCAAATGTAAGTTACCAGCCAGTAACTACCAAACGGCTGAAGAATCCCTTTGAAGCTCAAGGGCACAAAGGAGATAACAGAAGAAGAAATTCTGCCAGATGGGCAACAAGAACACTCCAAGGCTAAGATAAGCTGAAGACAAAAGAAAAACAACCACAAAGACAGAAGCTGGGTATGGAAAAACCCCAAAGCACTGACACAAAGGATGCCAATCTCTATAAAAGAACACATTAAAAATGCCAAGTTGGGTGAGTCCTCTTTTCTCTACTGTTTCACCAGAGCACAGATGCATCTGGTCACCCCGCTCCAGCTATTATCTTCAAATCATCATCATCTACTCAAACCCAGGTTGGCCACCCTGGGCTGATACCAAGCAACTTACTGCTGGTAACTATATCTGGTGTGTGTGTGTGTGTGTGGATGAAAAAGTTGTTTTGTGTACGTGTTTTCCTGTGTGTAATGATGTGCATGGTGATTTGTGTGTGTTTGTATGAATAGTGTGCAGGAACCTCTGTGTCTAACAACCTACACTTCGGAACCTCTATGTTTAACTCATGCAATCAATAAATGTGGCACCTTACCTTATCCTCCTTTATAAAGTTTCGCTTGTAATTTGAGCAACATTTCTGGTGGAGAATGGTGGAGGTATAGTGGTCTTGGGTTAGACCAACCACTTAGAAGAATAGAGAAATACCTGGATATTTGGACAAGTTGTTTGACTTAGAAAGCCCACCTGTGGGTTATGGACTGCCAGGGTAATCCGAACCGCATACAGAGAGGGCTCCATTGTTGTAATTTAAGTTTTGTTTGTGGATATTAAGAAGTTCACTTTGTGGGTTATAGACTGCCAGGATAGTCCATAAGACAGTAAAGAGTGAGGCAGATGTAAAAAATGTCAAAAGATCCCCAGCCTATATATCTGCAAGATATGAGTCTTTTAAAACAAGTGCTGCAGTAATTTAGACATAGCCCACGGACCAAGCAAGCAGTAAGAGATGCCTGTACCCTTGTACATTTAAAATACAAATTTAAGAACTATGTGCAGGCATATAATATACTACCACACTCCATGAAAAAGGAGGCTGCAGCAATGTAACTTTTATGGGAAGCTGTTCCTCCGTCTAACTGTTAGGAGGCATTTTAAAGGGGTTAGTTAAAATTTGTAGTAAGGTAAAGTTGTATGGTAATTGTGACTAAGGTTGTAAGTTTTGTACAGGAGAGGTGGTTTGTTACCGCTGACCAGAAAACTGTTGGTCTGGGTCAGGCAAAGTAGTGAACATGAGTACATGCTATGGTCGACTTGGGATTAAGTAAGAACCTCCTGTTGTGTCTGAAATAGGAAACTAGGAGAGAACAAAGAAAGTCATCTCTCTGCTGGAAAGGCTGTGTAAATGACAGGGTCCTTAGGAAGGGTTAGTTTTTTACAGATAGTTACAAGAGCCAGTTGTGTGTTTTCTGTAAAGTTTGTAAAGTGTAAGTTACAAGTGCAAGTTATAGCAAGGTAAAAAGTGTTATGCAGGCAGTGGAGCTTCAAAGAGATCAAAAACAGTTAAAGAAATGAGACAGATCCTTTAGGATCTTGTGTGCCCCCCCCCCAAAAAGAGAGGCAATGAGTGGCACAGAAAGAGACAAGGTATGTTAGTGGACATCTGCTCAGGCAGCGGCAGAGAATTTGTGATTGGAAGTGAGGGAAAACTTGGAATCTCTATGTCCAACTCATGCAATCAATAAACATGGCACTTTGCCTTATCCCCCTTTATCAAGTCTTACTCATGATTTGAGCAATTGGCAATTTGAGTAACAGCTGCAGCAGAGGCTGGGGGGAGTGGCAGCAAGCAGAGCCCCAGCTGGCACAGGATGTGGCACAGCTTGTCCACACTCACCCTAGCCCCCACGGCAGCAGCCCTGGGAGCTGTCAATGGGTGTGGGAAAGGAACTGGGATGGGGAGCTCCTCTTGCTGCTCCACACCCTCCAGGAGGGCTACAGGCTGGGGAGCTGTGTTGGGCTCTCCCAGAGTGCGCATGTGCCCGCAGATCTGCATGCGGGATGACAGCAGGTTGCCGCTGCAGGCTGGGGCTGGTGGCAGCACCAGGGTAATTCTTCCCGGTGCTAAGGGTGGGTACGTTAAGCACCAGGAACAGCCCAGTGCCACCACTGACCCCAGCCTGCAGTGGCAGCCTGCTGTCATCCCATGTGCAGGTTCAGGGGCACTGGGCTGTTCTCAGCACACCCACCCCAAACACCAGGAAGAATCAGCCTGGCGACACCACTGGCCCCAGCCTGCAGCAGCAGCCTGCTGTCAACCCACATGCAGAACTAGAGGTATGCACCCCTGGGAAGAGTCCTACACAGCCCCCCAGCCTGCAGCCCTCCTGGGCTACACAAGAGCAGCAAGAAGCATGCCCTGCCTCCTGCCCACACCAGACCCACTGACAGTTCTCACTGTTGCCAGCACCAGTCACTCCCAGGGCCACTGCAGCAGGAGCCAGAGTCAGTACAGGGCAAGCTGTGCTTTGTCCCATGCCACCCAGGGTTTGCTTGCTGCCACTCCCCCCAGCCCCTGCTGCAGATCTGGGGGCACGTGCCCCCCAGGAACAGCCTGACCGCCCGCAGCCCTCCCAGGGGATGTAGCACAGCAAGAGTAACTGCTTGTTTTTTTCAGCATGAGAATGTTTTAACAATCAGAAGAAAATTCAAAATTTGATACCAAGGCAGAGGAAAGAATTCCAGCTTAGAGGCAAGAACACCACCATGAGGCAGTTGCAAAATAGAGTCATGCAGAATGCAACAAGAAGAATGGTTTTTTTTTCAGTGGGAAAGATTAACACTTCTATAACAGAGGTAGAGAAATGCTCCTTTAGAACTTCATTACAAGTTTGAGTCAGGCTGCTCATTGCTTAAAGCATTACTTACTTTTTTTTGATGTTGGGGCAAAGTTTCAGCACATCTTCTTTGCAAGCCATTTTAAATTTGTAAGAGAATCTGAAATCCTTCATTTGAACCTAGAAAAGGCAGAAGTTTAAACAATTAAGTGATATTAGGCTTGCCTGAAAAAGCCTATTCAGTATTAACTGACTTGCCATGCCCTACCAGGATACAGCCAATGCAAGCCAAAACATCAGGGGTGTCAAGCACCAGAACCACTCCATCCAGCCTGATGGGCAGTTAGAAATGTGGCCTGCTGCAGAATCCATGTTCCCCAGGTCTCAGCAGACATGGTCATCTGCAGCAGAAGGGCAAGTTAATGGGGCCTGACACCGGCCCAATTACCCTGTTGCTGCTTGGCCTACTGCCATCCTGCTGTAGCTGCCACCGGCCCACCACAGGCACCCCTAGGCTGGATTCTGGATCTGGCCCTGGGCAAGTTTGATACCCCCTCTCTGTATATGATGTAGTTCTACTAATCTGGCCTGCCATTTTCCCTCCTCTTCACCTCCCCCAAACAATATGTTGACCAGCATTTTAAGGTATTTTTTCTACAGGAGAAGGCTTCTCATGGAAAACATACTTGAAAGAGCCACAAATGCCCTTCCTGCCTGTTGCTTAGATAAGGTTTACAATGGGTACAAATCAGGCACAAAGGCAGGCATTTCATCTTTCTTCCTATCCCTGAAGGTGTTGACCATACTGATTATCCATCAATACCATCCATACAACCTATATTGATCAATGAGCGTTTATGATTACGTGTGCAACCTACAGACACAGATTATTCAATTTAAGTAAGGATTCTGGCTAATTGCCATGCTCCCAAAAACAACATAACACACATATGACCATAATATAAATAAGTTCAAACAAAATAAACAAACTACAAATAATATACTAAAATAGAGCCCACCAACATAAAAACATTATCAATATAGTATCTTATCCCAGAACGTGCAAAAGTATGGGAAAGGAAAGCTAACCAGGGTGGTTGGAGATGAGGGGGATTATTAATAACTTCTATGTAACAATTTAAGCAGACAAGATGGTAAAAGGGGCAGGATTTTGAACCAAAATCCCACCATTCTAATAATAATATTAGTTAAAATAGAATCCATTCCTGTCTCTAATCTCACAAAAAGATGCAGGAGTTGAGGAAGGAAGAGCCAGAAGAGCCCTAAGAAACTTGTTCTGAGGTATGTCTAGATCTTTATTAGTGGCATAACCCCATACTTCAGTGCCATACGAGATCCAAGAGGTAAAATTTGGCTTTATATGCTGACTAGCCAACTGCCCAAAGGGGCCAAAATACATCCTTGCCTAACCCCTTTTTGCGTATGTGATTTTTTTGTGCAGGTTTAGCCTTCAAGCCCCACCTAATTTGGGCCCGTGTATCTTTCTAATATTCTATCAACAAATGCAAAAAAAGGATCAATCCCATAATTTATCAATTTCTCCTAAAGTGTACTTCTTTCTATACTGTTAAAAGCCCGACAAGTCTACAAATGCAATATACAGTGCTGATTTGTGCATCTGCGCATACTTATGTCTCAAAAATTGAAGAATAAATATGTTATCAATAGTGGAATATCTGTCCCTAAATCTGGTCTGATGTTCATCTAATATGTTTTCTCCTTTTACCCATGCTATGAGATAACAAATGGCGCCAAAAATTTTTAGCTGAACTGCCTATCAAACTTATAGGGTGATAGGATTCTAGCTTATCTTTTAAACCTGTCTTGAAAATTGGTACAATAATACTCCTTTTCCAAGAATCCAGGATTTGGCCCAACTCAATTATAGAGTTATACCATTTTTCCCAGATCAGACCCCACCATTTAATGTTATGGGCCTGGGGGCTTTATGCTTCTGTTGTACTTTGAGATGTGCTATTTGATCCTTTGTCACCCAATACTTAATTGCATCTGTGAGGGGTTTATTACTCCCTAGATTACTATTTATTTGTTCCATAAAAGTGAACTGATTGGAAAAAATGTTCTACCCAACTGTCTGCAGTAATATTATTTTCAATGTTATAATTAAAATTAGCTGTTCCTTTTGATACAAGTAGCCAGAAGGTTAATCTGGAGAAGCTTTCCATAACTTTCAAATCTCACTCTGAAAAGTTGTTCCAGTGTACCCAGTTTTCCTTAATTTCCTAGCTTTCCTATTTAATGATCTTTTCTGTTCTATACATTCTCTCTCAAACCAGAAAGCACCTTGTTCTTTAAATGTCTGTAGAGGATGGGAGGTTAAGAGGTGCTGAGGAGTGGGTGGAGGGACACAGACTGAGGGATAAGATGAGTAATATCACTCAAATGGATTGGGTCTTGTATAACAGAAGGGGCATTCGTAACAATTTCCTTTCCATCTCTATGGGTAAGATAGAGGCTACAGGTAATGAAGTGTGAAAAGGTAGAGGTTGCTCACCAGCTGGAAGTGAGTGACTCCAATAGCACACTTCTCATTCATCTCCTTCTGATGTTTGTTCTGGATCAGACATTCCATTAGGTCACCAGAGTCTATTTGGTTATCTGCCACCTCCTGAATAGATAGATGGACAAGATTTCACTCTCTTTAAGAGATGCATCCCCATAAACTATGTAACTTACAAATTAAAGAATTCAAAGATGTGACCCTATAAGAATTCAGATCAGTGAAATTAACATCACAGGTCTCTGCTTTGAATTTAAGCTCACATTAAATGACCATGTGTGGCCTGTGGCACATTAAACCCTCCTACAATCATGAAGCACACTTCTGAAAGCAAAACAATCTGAAACGAGCACAAATATATAGGCACTTTATTTTACATATTAACATACTGCAAACATTAACATTCATAATAAGACCTTATAAAAAGCTGGTGGCCTCACATCTGTTAGTCTGACTAATCGGTATCGCACAATGGTGCACTAAAGCTACTCTGAAACAAGTGACAGAAAGGAAGAGTATCAAGGGAGGAGTGAAGCCACTAAGTCTTTTTGCTAAGAAAAGAACTGTGGTCCTGAACCAACATAAAAATAGCCATGTTTTGAATTACAGTGCAGTTTTACCTGTGAAGCCTAGATTCTGCAGTGGGGGCCAATAACTGCAGAAGCCCTGGATGAAATAAGAAGAGGTCTCTGATTTAGCAGCTTACTATATGCACAATTCTTTCTTCTTGGTTCTTTTAGTTCTGCAAACAGCATGGTTAGGGTTCAGAACTTCATTTACAGCACTCCTATCCTCACACTGATGGGAGTAGAGTTATCTAGATCACTACATTTGAATGGTGACAATTTTTTATCTTTATGCAATGCTAGTGTAAACTGCACGTCCATTTATGACAACTTATGTCAAACCAGCTTACACTCCCTTTAATGCCTTGTAGTACTTCTGATTAGGTTTAAACACTGGAAACTACATCCCATCCAAAATATTTCTCATTCTTCTAAGAATCCCAGACTTTCATGTACTTACATGACAGAATGTTTGAATGATGGGCTCACACGCTCTCATCAGCAAGGCTTCAATCTGAATATCCTGTAGAAAAGACACAATGTGCACTTGTTATAGAAATTAAACAAAAAGCCAAATGAAAGGCTCTGTTCATGCATTAAAAGGTCCTGAAAACTGCTTCAAGACAAAGTTGCTCTGTTATGTTTATGGCACTTCTTTTAGATGACATCCAGAAAGCATCCCCATTGGCACCAGCAGTTATGCTGCCTGCCCTAGCCTAGAGATCAGCACCCTAAAGCCCACGGAGCCACTGGATCTGGCCTGTAGACATGGGTATTCAGTGGTGGCTCCTCCCATGCCACAGAAGAGAGAAGCAACAGCAGACTGGTCCTAGCACCCACTTGCCTCCAATCCAAACCATCATTCTGGCCTGAAATGGTTGCCAACCACTGCTCCACAGACAGTAATATGATCTGTAGGAGAGCCTTTCAACTTTAAGTGTTTGAACAGAGCTGCTCTGCGCACAGAGCTGGAGAAGTCCCCTACTGCTCAGATAATTCCGATAGAGTGAGAGTCCCCAAGGAAGAGTTACACTTCAAGATACTACAGCAAAAATAAGACACAGAAACAGTAAGCAAGGATTAAGCCAAGCATGTTTTAAGTGGTGGAAGGAAATAACCCCTACAGCAGTGGTCCCCAACATTAACTACTCTATGGGAACGATACTGAGCAAGTAACATGCTGTAGGTACCATCACATTTTGCTCTCATTGTCAAATCTCAGCTTTTAATTTCTTCTGGCCACAAGAAACAGTGGAGGGATTTGTAGATCATCATCCTAGAGCAAAAAAGCTTGACATGTAAAATGGAGAAAACCATTTGCCCACAGACACCTAAGAAAAGCCCCAACTACTACAGGTAAGTGATCTTAATGAATCAAACTGGTGGTCCCACACTGTCTAACTGTTGCTTCTGGCAAAAAAGTTGGGAGTAGAATATGTTGATGAAACTCCCTGAAGATGTAACCAACAATTTAGGCCCTGAACACATTTTGATTAAAGGCTACATGGTTTTTTCTACAGTAGAGGTTAGCCCCAACACCATGGCCATTCACCACCTTCCTTGCATTCTGCCAATGCAAAAATCCAAGCTGTTATTTAACACCTCTCAAAACAATTAACTCAGGATGACACTGCTTCACCGTAGAAATGGCAGTATTTCTGTGTCAAGTTGATAATCCATGTGTTTTTCAGTAATGGCCTGAAGGCAGCTGCCCATGCTATTTTAGAGATTCTTCCCTTCATTCTTGCTTACCTCAGACTCCAGCTCAGTCAAGTTTCCAACTATGTCTCTGCATTCAACCACCAAGTCATCAAGATGGTCCTGGAGACATTCGAGTTCCTAGACAGACCCAATTATCTTAGTATGTTATCAAATACCTAACATTCAGAACTTGTACAAAAGTGGCTATAACAAATCAGCAGTCTAAGCAGAGGACCTCCAACTTTCAGCATGCTCTTTACTGGCATCTCAAGAACTAGCACTGCTTTTGGGAAGACTCAATTATTCCGGTTGCTCTAGCAGCTTGGAGTCAATCTGATCTTACATCACGAACGGGCCTCAGCTGCAGATTTTAATCATTTAGGACTTGGTGACCAGTCTGTCAGGATTCATGAACATGACACTATACCCTTCCTTTTTCACTTTTGACACACTGTGTCCTCACAATGTTTCTCCTCCAGGTTTTAACTTAGGGTCAATTAAAAAGTATATGGAAAACTGATTTATCCAAGCTTCTCAACATTTTTTTTGGTATTTACACTAGCTGCTGGCTTCTATTTTTAAGTTCCTGATGATTGGAAATGTTGCTTTTCCATTTTACAAACATCGTAAAGGGAGGCATGTTGGCAAAATAATTTACACAAAGGCGTAGGCACCACGGTAGAGTAAGGATTACAACTCACAAGCACCCAATGCCCAAATATTCATTCCTTTAGGGCAGTGGTCAGCAATTTTTAAAGCAGTAGGCTGGAGGCAGGCTGGTGCTCCAAATTCAGCTGCAACTACCACTTCTTTTTGGTACCTGGCCACGACAGAAGCACAGGCCCTCAGTGCCACAATGCTGCAAAAGCCCCCAGCTCTACAGGTGAGATCCAATGCCTCCATGAGCCATATGCTGTCAACCCCTGCTCTAAGGGAAGCTCTCCCCCAGTCAGTGAGTTTTGTAACAGTGATGAAATGCTTGTGTTGATCCAGGCTTTCCCACAACCTGGATTTTGCTTTTAAATTTCAGTGTGCTAGTTTTTAAATCTAAACCGTTCTAAATTTTTTACATTTTTTGCTTGAAAAGATGACCTTGGAGGACATTTGGCTTTTTCTGTTCAGCCTTATTTTCAAGTAGAAAAAAATACCTCGTTGTAAAATTGTATTTTCTTTTCCCTCCCTCCCTCTTTCTTTGCACAATTTTGATCTTTCTCGCATATATTTAGAAACGCACACTGTAAGCAATGACTAAGGATGCCAGTCTACCATGAATGATGTTTGATTGAATGTATTCTCAGCAGAATGTTTTTCTGCAGCTGGTGCTTCGCTATAAGTTTGCCTTCTAGGATTAGGGAGACAAGGTTCTTTGGCTGAATCTGATATCTTTTATCTTCTAGGATTAAACACCCAGGCGCGCAACAGGGCTGGAGTGGTGTGGCACGGCAGCCAGACTCCGCTTCCCAGCAGCAGCTCCTTCTGGCTGCTACTACTACTGCCTCTGCTGCTGCTGGACCTGGCCCATCTACCCTGCACCCACCAGCAGGGACACTATGGAGACCAGCCTGGACCCCCGTAGACAGAGCGCACTTGGCCAGGCAAGATGGGATTGGGCTGTGGGTGGACAGAGCTAGGGCTAGGATCCCAGGGCAGTGACAGCAAAAGCCTGGAACAGGGCCATGATCTACTCCCTGCACTGGTTCCATGTTCCAAGCCTTGACTGCGCCTGCCCATCCTGCTCCTGGGTGCTGCTCCTCATCCAACCACAGTCCCATCCCATCTACCTGGCCAAGTGTCCCCACTCACCTGCTCCATCCAGGCTGCTGGGAAGCAGAGTCTGGCTACCACACCACCCCAGCCCCACTGCTTGCCAGGGGGCGGCAGAACCAGCAGCATGCACCACAGCTCAGGCTGCCTCCCACCACATGCGGGTCAAGAGGGGCAAGGGACCCACCACAGGCCAGGATAGCAAGCTGGATGGCCACTTAGGGGAGTTCTGATGAGCTTGTGTAGGGAGGTGGGAGGGTTGTGTTAGCCTGGCCTGCAACCGCTCACCAAAACTCCAAGTGGCCCTCCAGCCCAAATAATTGCCCACACCTGATTTTACATGAAAGAAGAATCTGACAAAGTTTTGTTAGAGAGCAGATGTTAACTCCAGCTCTTTTCAAACATGGGAAGCATGTCAATATTTTGCCAAATGCAAATGGGATAAAGACAGAGAGAAAATAAATTTCACACTTGTAATAGGATACAGAAGGAAAAAAAAAATAGCTGCCACAGTAAAGGAAAGAAAAAAAATCCTCTGTAATGGAAGGGAGACATTGGACATTTTATAGTGGAAAGACATTAAGATACTTTAGTGGTGGAGGAAGTATCTTTGGATTGATGAAGACAAAAAAACACATTTCAAAGTAAAAGTATTCATCAAGAATTAAACATTTAAGGCTGTTTGCAGTTTCTAGTTACTTATATTATACCATATTTGTGTATATTTCTCTTATTTGTTTTTTTTTAAATATATTAGGATATCCTTAAT